TGAGGTCACATGGGGAGTCCAGGCTGCTAGCCTCCTGAATAAAGAGAAAATAAATTTGCCCTTTAAAGCCAAAAACCAAAATAAAAATGGGTGTGCCTAGAGCAATCATACCCATCTTGTAGGTGGTTGGGGAAATTCACTAACACCTGTAAACGCACCTGGAACAGTCCCGGGACAAGGTGCAAGAGCGAGCAAGCGTCACCCCTTGTTCTTGCTGCTTTGCTTGGATGGATGCTTGCTGTTTGTGCTCTCAAGTCAGCCCCACCCCCGGCGGCCCCTCCCCAGTGGGACACAATGCTTCCCGGTCCTGCGCCACCCCCCACCGAGGTCGCTCAAACCCTGGGACCCAGAGGGTTTCCACATGGGTTTTCCTGAAGTGGACTGCCAGGCAATTCTTCCAAGAACCCTCTGGGTGGTGCGGATACTCCCATCTTTTGAGTCGTCACTGAGTGTACTGTGTGCCCCACCTGAAACCAGATCCCAAACCTACCTGCTGGCCCGTCGGTTCCTGCTCACAGCGACCCTACAGAACAGAGGAGAAGCTCTCCCAGGGGGATTCCGGGCCTGCACATCCGTCACCAAGCAGACTACCACATCTTTCTCCCTTAGAGCAACCGGTGGGTTCAAACCACCGACCACTGGACTAACAACCTTGAGCCTAGCCACTGCGCCACCAGGCCTTCTTGTGCACCACTCAGGGATGCCCATAATGACCACAGAGGCCTCTCAAACCACCCTGTGAACACTGGCCCAAGCCAAACACCTGCCTCCCTGTCACCTGCCCATTCCAACTCACAGGGACCTCACACGGCGTTCCCGAGACTGTCCATCTTTCCTTTTTCACAGTTCATTGTGAGCGGAGCGGAGGGGGGTGGGGCGGGGGTGGTGGTGTATGTTATCCGATCAACATTTCTGTATGATCTCTCTCCACCTGCATGGACTCTCCCAGCAGCTTGCACCCTGTACTCCTTGTGGGTCTGATGTTATCTTTCTCTTCACTGAAAAACCAAATCCACTGCCATCAGGTCGCTTCTGACTCACGGCAACCCTGCAGGACAGACGAGAGACTGTAGCTCTTCACAGGCGTAGAAAGCCTCCTCTGTTTCCCCCAGAGCAGCTGGTGGGTTCAAATTGCTGACCTGGCAGTGAGCTGCCATTCATGTAACCACTACCCTACCAGGGCTCCTTCTCCCCATTCCCAAGACTGTACAACTTGACAGGAGCAGACAGCCTCGTCTTTCTCCCACAGAGCAGCTGGTGGGTTCGAACTGCTGATCTGGCAGTGAGAAGCCCAACATGTAACCCACTTCACCCTCAGGCTCCTTTGTGGACCCCACACAGTGCAGGATACTATGCGTGTCAGTACTAGATCAAGTTGCTTACTAAAAGCCAAGCGCCATACATCATCCCCCACCCCTGACCCACAAGTCTGTTTGGTTCTTACAAATGTGCAAGGGACTGTGTCCCCTCCAGTGCAGCCCCAGCTCTGGGCACATCCTGCGTCATTCTCGGAAGAACAGCTCTGGGAGAGGCCAGAGCGGAGCCCCACTAGGAGCTCTGGTGGAGGCCTGTGGCACATAAGAGCCGCTTTGTGTGGGAGACTAGACAGCGCTCACGTGCCGCCTCATGGGGAAAGGCCCTTCACAGACGAGTATTCAACTCTCAGGAAACTGCAGAGAGGGGCGGGGGGAGACTGTTCTGAAAGCTGACCACTCAGTGAAGGTGCAGCCATGGAGTAAAGGGAGGGGTCGGGGTCGC